CTCCCAGGTTGACCCACACTAAAGTGTCCTTGGCTCCCAGGTTGACCCACACTAAAGTGTCCTTGGCTCCCAGGTTGACCCGCCCTAAAGTGACCTTGGCTCCCAGGTTGACCCGCCCTAAAGTGTCCTTGGCACCCAGGTTGACCCACGCTAAAGTGACCTTGGCTGTCAGGTTGACCCGCCCTAAAGTGACCTTGGCTGTCAGGTTGACCCGCCCTAAAGTGACCTTGGCTGTCAGGTTGACCCGCCCTAAAGTGACCTTGGCTCCCAGGTTGACCCGCCCTAAAGTGACCTTGGCTGCCAGGTTGACCCGCCCTAAAGTGACCTTGGCTCCCAGGTTGACCCGCCCTAAGTGTCCTTGGCTCCCAGGTTGACCCACACTAAAGTGTCCTTGGCTCCCAGGTTGACCCACACTAAAGTGTCCTTGGCTCCCAGGTTGACCCGCCCTAAAGTGACCTTGGCTCCCAGGTTGACCCGCCCTAAAGTGTCCTTGGCTCCCAGGTTGACCCATGCTAAAGTGACCTTGGCTGTCAGGTTGACCTGCCCTAAAGTGACCTTGGCTGTCAGGTTGACCCGCCCTAAAGTGACCTTGGCTGCCAGGTTGACCCGCCCTAAAGTGACCTTGGCTCCCAGGTTGACCTGCCCTAAAGTGTCCTTGGCTCCCAGGTTGACCCGCGCTAAAGTGTCCTTGGCTCCCAGGTTGACCCGCCCTAAAGTGTCCTTGGCTCCCAGGTTGACCCGCCCTAAAGTGTCCTTGGCTCCTAGGTTGGCCCGCCCTAAAGTGACCTTGGCTCCCAGGTTGACCCGCCCTAAAGTGACCTTGGCTCCCAGGTTGACCCGCCCTAAAGTGTCCTTGGCTCCCAGGTTGACCCGCCCTAAAGTGGATACTAAGAAATGTCATGGAAGTAATGGCCATTAGCAAGACGATGACCAAACACCCATCAAGTTCCAACTGGCCTATACAAATATGAGACCAGTAACACATGCCCAATGTGCCACTAACATAGATTTTTTTTTTTTTTTTACATTTTCTATTCCATATTCCGAGACATGATGCTGTTTATAAACATAACAATAAAGTAAAGAACAAAACTTGAGGAAAATTACAATTCTTATTAAAACCTGCAAGAGAATCATATACAGCTCTGAAACAATAATTTATGGAATAAATATAAACGTAACATCACAGATGGATACCCCCAGTGTTCTAGAGAGTTCACCAACCAACCAAATCCATCACTTTGTTTTACAGCGCAAACAAAATGGAAAAAAATCACTGCCTTATTTAAAAGTGAAATCTTGTTATGAATTTAAAATATTATGACAATCATGACAAACAAACAAAAAAAGAAAGAAAAAATCATGCCAGAAACAATCTTTAGATGTGGAAATTTTTGTCTCTGTGTCATATCTTCCAATGGGCATCTATGCGTAGCCTAGATATACAAGCACACACAAATATACATGGAGAGGAGGGCACAGACAGGAAAGCGTAGAGAGAGAGAGTAGACAGTAGAGAGATCAGAGAGTAGACAGAGAGAGACCAGACAGAGAAAGAGAACAGACACATACACACACAGATAGAGAGCATAATGAAATGTGTACTTCCCTGCAATCTACCAAACACATACACTCAAGAAAGCATATATTCCAGTATTCTACTAAAACCTACTGTAAAACATTCAAACACCTACCTGTAAAACATTCAAACACCTACATCAAGAATAACTATGTGGCCTGTAGCATACCCTGATGTGATGGAAGTCACATTAAACATGTTTACGGTAAAAAGATGAGCCACACAATTCAGAAGAATATGACAGGCTGGATTATCTGATCAATGTTACTTACACAAGATTTAATTTTGGCCTGCAAATTCTTAAAGATACCAACACCCATCTATCCATTTATCATTACATCTATTTACATAATGAATCAAAATAAAACAATCTGGTGTAACATTGTTAATGTGGCTTAAACATTTACAAAAACCTGCCACAGATATGTGTCACATTGTTCAACTATAGTTTAACTCATTCAGTGCCAAACCAAACCTTTCACCGTAGGCCTGTGGGTTATTCCAACCATAATATGTTGTTCTTGTTGTCTTCTATCACAGATTTATGTTACATTAACCCTTTTTTTTTCCATCATCATCTTCTTGTGCTAGAGGTTCACCACTCCATATATCACTTGCCTTCATTCATCTCTGTGACTGGCCTTCCCTTCTCTTTCCAGGTGGTGACTCCAAGTATACGTAGGTCTGCTTGGATGTTATCTTTCCACTATCTTCTTGGTCTGCCTCGTGGACCACTCCCACGCAACTCTTTTGTGTAGTTTTTTTCTCTTTGCATTTACTACAATCCTCTCTATATGCCCCATACATTGCAGCCTTCATGATGCCAGTAACCAGTGGTGATTTCAACCACTGTTGCTTCTCACTCTTCATTCTTCACTCTGAGGTATTAACCCTTTATTTTTAAATTTTTTATTTAACCACTTCTATTCCATATCAAACTCCTTCAGACCTAAGTATGTATCGCTTTTCAGCTCAGCTTCTTGGGACAGAGTTAAAGTCAGAACAGCTTGCTACTGAAGGAGTTAAGCAGGTAAACATTTTGGCAACATTGTAAAGGCAATAGTTTAGTTTTGAAGAAAGCAATTCAGCAAATATTTACTATTTCACAAGGCAATCATGTCATTCCAGGCATGAATGATTCAATCAATCAAGAATTGGCATAACTACACTCGGGACATTCCCACACGTGCACCGTCCCCTTCTTCAGTCAGCAACAAACAGCTGAAATGCTAATAGAACCAGGTACAACCTGATTAAACATCCACCTCTGTTTCTCCTTCATTGCTGAATATCTTCCTGAATCTCTACTCACTCCCCGTTGAATTAGTCTTTCAGTGTATGGATTCTCTATCCATTCCTCTGCACTGTCAACTTGATCTCACTGAGTCTTCTACACACTCACTTTACCATATAGTAGCTCACCATCCAAAGGAGTGGCAGCAGCCAATCTATCAGCCTGTTCGTTACTTCGCACACTTAAATATCCTGGACACAGAATTCATGACAAGAACTGGGTGTTACCAAGTGAAGAAAGCTATTCTGCATGCAGAACACCAATGTCCATTTTCTGAAGCATGCTCTATGAGTCTGATACAATCACAACATGTCGGGCTGTGCTGTTCTCAAGCCATTGGAAAGCTGCTGTTCCTGGCATATTCCATGTTTACATCATGAGGACATGAACTGTAGACTGCATTTCCTGTGTGGGTTCCAGGGCCCCATTCTAGGAGGAACCAGAATAGATTCACTGACTCCCGAACAAGCATGCCATACACAACGACTAAATAGGTGAGCTTCCTTCGAAGTTGGAGGGCATCGGCCTGAGAGGCGAGGAACCAACAATCTGCATACAAACAAGCCAGATCTGTAAAATGGATGTGCAAACAAAACTCAAGTTCTGGAACAAGATCAAAGACCAGAACTTTTCGCAAGAGTTCACAGCTTGTGGTTGCGAAGAAGGCCTGCCTGGCATATCCTCCTTATCTCGCCAGGTTTCCGGCAATAAGCTGCAAAATACACTATGTCTTCACTATTTAAATTCACAACAAGAAAACATTGTTTTCAATATTTAGTTGTTTATTTTAACATGTCACAATGGGCCAGTTACATGACCAAACACAAGAATGAACTTTTATTTGTCAAAGGGTCAGCAACTGGACACTCGGGTCCATCTGACACTTAAAATCAGCTGAATCAAGGGCCAACATGCTTTACCAACACCAAGTATTTTCACTTAACATGAACTAAAAAAAAAAATTGTCATGGAATCGAATTGGTAAATATTTTGCACCGAATAAGGAACACATTTTTTCACAATGTTTCAACACTTTCGCCTAGAGACCATATCGCCTAGAGACCCTTTTACCTAGAGACCCTTTCTTCTAGAGACCCTTTTGACTAGACCCTTTCACCTAGAGACCCTTTCACCTAGAGACCCTTTCACCTAGATACCCTTTCTACTAGAGACCCTTTCACCTAGAGACCCTTTCACCTAGAGACCCTTTCACCTAGATCCTTTTGCCTAGAGTTCCTTTCTACTAGAGACCCTTTCACCTAAAGACCCTTTCTTCTAGAGACCCTTTTGACTAGACCCTTTCACCTAGAGACCCTTTCACCTAGATACCCTTTCACCTAGAGACCCTTTCTAGAGAATGCTTAAAAAATGTGTCATAATTAATAAAAAAAAAATCTTTAAAAAGTTACAAAGAATTTCTTATTCAGGTTACTAATTAAACAAAAACTAAACAAAAATGTTACAATTTATTTATCGATAAAATATAAAAATATAAAAAAGAATTATCCATAAACAATGCCAAAGCCACAAACGCCGACTAATAAACACAGAATGAAGTATTAAATAAGAGGTACTCCCCAGGGTCTACAGACAATATGTATCGGGGAACTCATGCCAGATGCCATGACCTTTAACACTAACACTGATGTCAACATAGCTTTAAAAAAAGCAATTTTGTTCAGCTGAAAATTCCCCCTAAATGCTACTTTTAGTCAATATATTCATATCCTGACCTCCGAAAGACTGCACAGGAGTCAACAGAACCAATGATTTTAAATTATACTTCTTGGAAACAGGTCTCTGCAAATATGCCGGTTTCACGGTCTTTGAGGGAATGTGGCAACGCCAGAAATATAGGGCTGACAGCTTCCCAGTGTGAAAGGGCAAAAACATTTCTCCGAATCAGTAGGAAGTTCATTGTGGATCAGTAACGTGCTTCAATTAAATATAAACAGTCATGGAATTAGTAACATCTTACAGAATCGAAATCAAAGTCTTCACCTAGTTAGAATCAAACAAGCTGACACATAAGATCACCGAGGATCAGACAAACATGACTATCAGACACTTCACTGAAGACCAGACAGACATGACTATCAGACAGACTCACATCAGTAAACCAAGACCTTACGGACTTCCTGTAGTAGCTTTCAGTCGTTTCAGGGCGTTGTTGACGCGGACGCTCAAACGATTCTCAAAGTCATAATCCTTGTAGTTGTCTTTGATCATATGTAAGTGGGTTTTCGCTTCTTGTATTGTCTATAAGAAAGGCAGAGAGTTTAACATACACAGTCAATCATATTCACGTATTACAGGTGTGCTCTTTGGTGCTTTATTAATATCCTACCCCAAACAGGGGAAATCCACAGGTCATGGGACAGTCTAATATTTCAAGGGTGGTAGATAGGCTGCATGCAGTCGTGGGACCTAGGCTGTACTCTCTCGTGGGACGTAGGTGGGTTAGGGTTAGGGCCAGTTCTAGATGTTTTGGGGTCGTTAAAGCATCAGAAAGCCGGGAATCCCGGTCTTACCTCCCTCTGAAATGTTGGACTGTCCTGTGACGTCATCTGGGGTAGGATATTACAAAAGAACCTGCTCTTCTTCTTTGCCTAAAAAGAATACTTGGCATTAAGTGGAAAGACAAGATCACAAACACCAGGTTTATGGAAAAAGCTGGTATCACAACAGTTAACTCATTTCTTGTCTCCAAATCTCAGAAGGCTAGGTCACACTTGGGGATGGAGAATGGCCTTAAAGACATCCTCAGTTGTGAATTACAGACAGGTGGAAGATGTCATAACCTGGAGCATAACTAAAAGAGATGAAGCCTTATTACAGGTTTTTGAAAACACAGTCTTACGACGAATCTTTGCACCTGTCAAAGATGTAAACAGCGGGGAATAGAGAGTGAGAAGCAAAAACGAAATTCATAGTCAGTTTAAATCACCACTGATCACTGGCATCGTGAGAGCTAATAGACTGAAATGGTTGGGGCATATTGAAAGAATGGCAGATGACAGAGAAGTAAAAACTGTAAACACAAGGGAGATAAATTGGTCGTAGACCACGAGGCAGAACAAGAAGACGATGGAGAGATAATATCCAGACAGACCTGCAAACACTTGGTGTCACCAACTGGAAAGAGAAGACCAACCAGAGAGACAAATGGAGGTGGGGGATATCTGCAGCAATTAACCTCAAGGGCTCGGAATGCTGAAGAAGAAGAAGAAGAAGATGTCAGCCTCGACCATGGTATAAGGATGTGCGCAAACAGGACATGAATAATACAGATATTATGTGAATTTGTGGGAACAAGAGGAGATACACCATTTTGTATGGAGTGGGAAAATCAGGAAGAAAATATGGATAAATGAAAAAAGACCATAGGCAGGTTCATAGCTGAGGTCTCAGAAAAAGCCTACTGAACACATTCAATGGCAACAAGATGTGGAGTCGTACACATATCTGGGCAGTTATGTAGATTAAGATGGGGGAACTGATAAAGACATTAAAATTTGAATACAAAAGGCAAGAGGAGCTTTCATAGCACTAGGGAATGTGTGGGGGTCAGAAGGAATTTAAAGAAATACTAAACTTAAAATTTTTAAGTCTAATGTCAAATCTGTACTTTTGTATGGGGCAGAAACATGGAGAACAACTAAAGCAACGACTAATAAACTACAGACATTCATTAACTGGTGCCTGCTCTAAATAGAGGGAGTCACTGTGGCGGTGCGGCTAGATGCTTGCCGTGGATCGGAAGGTAGTGGGTTCGCTTTCTGGTTTAGCGAGACTTTTTTTCAAAAATGACCTCGAATTCCAGGTCGACCCAGCCTTGAGTGGGCACCGGGTAAAGTCCCAGGAAGTAAAGACGGCCGGCGTGATGCTGACCACATTACCTATCTTGTGCCGATTGGTTTATAAAATATAGATCTAGCCCTATACGCCTCAAGGTGTGGAAAAGGGTCCTGTGTGTGTGCGTGCGCTCAAAACAGAGGGAATTAAATGGTATGATAGAGTAAGGGCTCTTTGAGAGAGAATTCAACAAGTTCCAGTGGACCAAGTGGGGAAGAACAAACGCTGGCGTTGGATAGAACAAACAGTGAGAAAACCTGAGAACAATATAACTAGAATGTCTTTGCACTGGAACCCACAGGGGCACAGAAATAAAGGAAGACCAAAAACACAAGAAGAAGGGAGCTAAAGAGTGAAGTTTGAAATGATCGGGAGGACATGGGGAGAATGCATGCGATAGTTAAGGATAAAATGACTTGGCGTGAGTTGGTTGAAGGCCTATGCTCCACTGGAGGTTAGAAGGCAGAAGAAAGAGAAGGCAACAGTGGTCATAACATCTCATGCTCAACTCCTTGAGTCCCAAGAAACGCATCATACGTTCATAGGTTACTGCCTAGAAGCCCAATGAACGCATGATGCGCCGATTTTAGGTCCCTCTTGACTACCTCGTGGGCCTGCGATGCTAAACCCTCTGTGACTCAAAGAGTTAATAAAAAACTTCTTAACACACGCGGGTCTTGCTAGTCACACTCGCCATCACCATGGCCAGTGATTCCCATGTATCCCATTTAGCACAATATAACATAACAATATCTTCTGGAAAGATGCCAACCTGTTCTCTTCTTTTGATTTTAATTTCACAATCTTCTTCATTCTTTCTTCGCACCGGTTGTAAACTCCTGTGGAAAGTTCTGGCTGTTCATCCAATTCTGAACTTTAGTCAGGATCCAGAACTTGAGTTTTGTGTGCACTTCTGTTTAACAGACCTGGCTTATTTGTACATGTACTGCTGGTTTTTCACCTCTCAGGTGGATGCGCTCTGACTTTAAAGCAAACGCCCATAATTACTCAACTCTTATGACATGCATGTTAGAGCAGTGGGTCTATTCTGTTCCTCAAAATAGGGAACACACACACAAACATATATATATACAACAGGTAACAGATCACATGCCAGTAATACAGCAGACGACTACAGACCTGGGGGTTTCTGATGTAGATGGAAGCCAGCTCAAAGAGTGTGAATGCAGGGATGTACAGATCCTCCTTCTTGCCGTGGTGTCGGGCAATAGCTTCCTTCAGACACTGTCCAAACAAGCCAAGAAAAGAGATCAAACCACATGAAAAGTAGAACCAGCCACCCTCACAATATTACAGGCACAAAAAAAACAAATGAATTTTGAAGCTCAAGAGCCTTCATCAGCACAGTACATAAACATACAATAGCATAAACATGAACAAGAATACACAAAGTCACTTAAATGAAGATTCTCTGAGTGAAATCACGTATAAATCGACTAGTTTAATCTCTGACACAAGTGTGGCCACCGAAAATAAATAATGACCAAAAAGAAAAAGCAGTCAAAAGTAAGGGTCGTAACTCATAAATAGCAGATAAAACTGTGTTTGATGTTAAATCCTATAGATGAGTTTGAGCCCATTAGATTGACGAGCTAGCCGATTATTTATTAAAAAAAACAAAGTAAAGGATAAAGGACTCAGCCATGTCTTTAGATGTACTGGGCATATAGGGCTTAACCTGCATTTTATAGACCAATCAGCAGTCAGTGGGTCATGTGATCAAGCAGACCACTTTTATATCCCAGGACATCACCTGGTTCCCATTTAGGGCTGGGTTAACCTGGGAGCCAAGGTCATTTTTTTTTAAATATCAGACTTGTGATATGAGCTTATGACCTTCAGGCCTCTATGTGAGTGTCTAGACACTATGGCACAGCAGTTTCAAATCATAATACACAACTGAATCTACAAGGTAAAACTACAACAGTTTTGTCTGGCCCAAAAATGTTTTACTTAAAGAGCAACAACTTTCTATGACAGACACTTAAATCTGAACAACTTGAATCTATAAGGTATAACTGCAATAGCTTCTTTTGGTACAGAAATATTTTATTTCTTCTTCTTCGTTCACCAGTCGTAAGCTGCGGCGGAGTTTCCTAGTTTTTATTTTTTGGTCCACTTGGACTTTGGTTTCATGCCAGGGCCCGAGTTTGCGTGTACATCCTTTTTAATGGCTTATTTGTGTGCAAGTTGGCTGTTCCTTGTCTTTCAGGCAGATGCACTCTGACTTCGAAGCAAGCTTCCCAGTTAGATGACTCCAACTACATGCATATTGGGGAGGCAGTGGGTCTATTCTTGTTTTCCCCACAATGGGGCCCCAGAACTTACATGGGGGAAATGTTTTATTCAAATGAGCAACAACTTCTTACGACAATTAAAACTAAACAATAAATGAAATATTTACACAGTACAAAACAATGTTTACATCAAAACAATATTCTTACAGTGACAGCCATATCATCCTCGCCCAGCTCCTTGTAGATGGCACCTTCCAGCAAACACTTCAGTGGCATCAAAGTATGATCTGACTGCATGTCACATACTGCCAAAATATAAACATGCATACATTTACTAACAACAATTGTTACCACATCATGATTTTTATATTGAGCTCAGTTAAGAATTGATATCACAGCACTCATGATATAAACGCTCCATCACCATCTTCAGCGAAGAGTTCTTCTAAGTCTGAACACACCAGCATCAGCTTGACTATATGATTGTCTCGCCTTTTCCTGAGTGTAGTTTCAGCCAGATTCCCTGAGTGTACAGTGCTGACAAAATTCCCTGAGTGTAGAGTGTCAGTCAGATGCCCTGAGTGTAGAGTGTCAGTCAGATGCCCTGAGTGTAGAGTGTCAGTCAGATGCCCTGAGTGTAGAGTGTCAGTCAGATGCCCTGAGTGTAGAGTGTCAGTCAGATGCCCTGAGTGTAGAGTGTCAGCCATATGCCCTGAGTGTAGAGTGTCAGTCAGATGCCCTGACTGTAGAGTGTCAGTCAGATGCCCTGAGTGTAGAGTGTCAGTCAGATGCCCTGAATGTAGAGTGTCAGCCAGATTCCCTGAGTATAGAGTGTCAGTCAGATGCCCTGACTGTAGAGTGTCAGTCAGATGCCCTGAGTGTAGAGTCAGTCAGTCAGATGCCCTGAGTGTAGAGTGTCAGCCAGATGCCCTGAATGTAGAGTGTCAACCAGATCCCCTGACCACTTCCAGCTGTAGCACTCTCCCCTGACTGTGGTGATCTGTTCAAGTCTCTGCACTGCTCACTTGCTCCCGAAGGGCCCTGACCCCATCTAGCTCATCAGGTATCAGTTTACTACCCAGTGGTGCAGAACCAGCCAGTCTGTCTGCCTGTTCATTTCCCACAACCCCTGCATACACCGATGAAAGTGTGCTAACTACGTGGTACCAGTGCAGCAATGCTAGTCACTCTGCACAATCCCTGCATGCACTGATGAAAGTGTGCTAACTACCTGGTACCAGTGCAGCAATGCTAGTCACTCTGCACAATCCCTGCATACACTGATGAAAGTGTGCTAACTACCTGGTACCAGTGCAGCAATGCTAGTCACTCTGCACAATCCCTGCATGCACCGATGAAAGTGTGCTAACTACGTGGTACCAGTGCAGCAATGCTAGTCACTCTGCACAATCCTTGCATGCACCGATGAAAGTGTGCTAACTACGTGGTACCAGTGCAGCAATGCTAGTCACTCTGCACAATCCCTGCATGTACTGATGAAAGTGTGCTAACTACGTGGTACCAGTGCAGCAATGCTAGTCACTCTGCACAATCCCTGCATGTACTGATGAAAGTGTGCTAACTACCCGGTACCAGTGCAGCAATGCCAGTCACTCTGCACAATCCCTGCATGCACTGATGAAAGTGTGCTAACTACCCGGTACCAGTGCAGCAATGCTAGTCACTCTGCACACAGCCTGCCGGTCAATGTTTAGAACTTTAGCTTTATCTTTATGCAAATAAGGCACAATTCACTCAAAGAATGGGAAGTCAGCGTTGGGGGCTAAATTTAAAAGTGTTCAGAAATAGTGGCCAACAGTTGGGAGAGATATTACAATCTGTTCATAGCAAGAAAACAAAGTATTTATGTCTGGAAATCTCTGTATTCACTGCACAATTACTGTACCGTACAGTTAAGTACAAGATATATTAAGAAACTATACCAACAGATGGGAGTCACCCTGGCTAAGCGGCTAGACTTATGCAGATCGGAAGTTCATGGGTTCGCTCCCTGGCGAAGCCGGACGTTTTTTCTAAAATGACTTTGACTCCCAGGTCGACCCAGCCTTGAGTGGGTACCGGGTGTAGTCCCAGGAAGTAAAGGTGGCCAGCGTGATGCTGAAAATTTCACCCATCTTGTGCCGATTGGTCTATAAAATATAGGTCTAGCCCTATATGCCTAAAGGCGTGGAAAAGGGACCTTTACTTTGATACCAACAGATGTAGAGGTATATAAACTTTACAATCTGGATTTATCGGAGATAAGTATACAGTAAAACCTCGTTAACATGAATTCCAAGGATTCCTAATATCAAGAGTTTGAGTGTGAAACAAAAAAGTGTGTGCTAACAGAGGACTCAAATCAATAGATCCCTACAGTGACTTAAATTGTGTTCATGCTAACTAACTGTTCTTCTTAAGTGAATTCATGTTAACAAGGTGATGCTGTACATGGAAACAATTCTATGATGCTACACAACTCCAGGATCCAAACACTCACCATCCAGGAGTGGCTTCAAGTCGTCAGGGGTGCAGGTGGGTAGAGCATGCCACAAAAACAACATTTCCAGGGTCAACAAACGGCAGTGCTCCAGTGTCGGTTTCTGTTTCTTGAATTTTTCAGCCTGGCCAGGTGAAAATAAAATGTGTCATTCAAACAAAGTGTTAATTTTACAGCACACTGAAGTGAAACATCACTGTCTCATGTCACGAATACTGCTGGCTGACTGACTGCTCTCCCATTACATACAGGAAGTGGCTCCCAAATCCTTTTTTTTTTTTACTTGAGGGACTTTTGTTGAATTTAGAACAGTGTTTCCCAATGTGCTGCCCACTCCCTACTTGATTGTGAAGGGAGGCGGTTCAAAAATGGACCTGTCCAGAGTTTAAGTTACATAGGTGAAGTTACATGGGTGAAGTTACATAGGTGAAGTTACATAGGTGAAGTTACATAGGTGAAGTTACATAGGTGAAGTTTCATAGGTGAAGTTACATAGGTGAAGTTACATAGGTGAAGTTACATAGGTGAAGTTACATAGGTGAAGTTACATAGGTGAAGTCACATAGGTGAAGTTACATAGGTGAAGTTACATAGGTGAAGTTACATAGGTGAAGTTACATAGGTGAAGGGCATAAGAATTGTATAAAGGCTTAGGTGAGGCATAGCACACACAAAGTTGGGAAACTGATTTAGAATACATATCTATGGCAGAGCCCTTTTTGCCTACCATACCCTATGTTTTACAAGATAAAGACATTTACAAGTAATGTTACAAAGCAGAGCAAGAGGGGGTAGATACAGGAAGGAGATAAATGTGCAATGTATCTGCAATGAAATTATATTTTAACATCGTTTCAATTTACCATACGAGTCAATTTATTCTCAACTACCACCAGTACAGACGGTACTGTTAAAACGTGGCCGTTCGTACAAGTTCTTCCAAAATTCAACCAATCCTCTTCATCTTAGCCTTCACCAGCTGTAAACTGCAATGGAAAGTTATAGTTGTTCGTCCACTTCTGGACTTTAGTCTTTTTTCAGGATCTGAATTTTCCATGCACATCTGTTTTACAGATCTGACTTACTTGTATGCAGGCTGTGGGTTCCTCACCTCTCAGGCAGATGCACCGCGACTTGAGAAGAAAAATCCCGAACTATTTGCCTTTTTACAAATGCTTGTTAGGGTAGCAGTGGGTTTATTCCTGTCCCCAAAAATGGGACACCAGAACCCATGGACAGAATTCAATACATAAAACCATTCCAAAAGATTTTACATTGTCGTGAGAGCAGAAATATGGTCTATAAATAACGTATAAACAGCTTCCTTCCTTATTCCAGGTTCTACTGCTCACATGTCTGGTTCTGTGTTTTGTTTTGGTCGCTCTATAAGCAGACCAAATGACCAAGTGTCGTCTGCTAGAGACATCAAATTCTACCTGGCAAATTTTCCTTCAGAATGGAATTTCTAGTTTTCTTATTTTGATTCTACTTTTTGTCCTTTAATCTTTATTTTCTTCTAAATTTTATCTATTTTCCTGGTGCCCGAAGGAAGTGCACGCTGAGCCCTTTAGGTTCCACACAGCATTGGTTGGGAAAAGCTGCACTGCGGTATCACATCCAAAACACACAGGAGTATCTGCAGTACATTGGCTAAGCCGCTTGTTACATGCTGAGAAGATCATGAGTTCAGTTCTTCAGATTGCAAGCACAGATGGTTTCAGCACATGCCAATTACTGCTGGAGCTATGGAAGTATGTGCTTTGTGTGACCTGTTGCTTTGCAGAGAGAGCGACAGCCATAGTGGGTTAAATTCTGTACAATGAAGCTGGTTCTCTCACTGTTAGACATAGTTTGAAAATCTTTACAGTGTGTTAATCTAATTAGGATCTAACTCTCCCGGCATGATCATATCATACAGCCATGTCATGTTTACTTGCATTTCTCAACATATATCACACATCCATGTAATGTTTACTTGCAATTTTCCCCACATATCACACATCCATGTAATGTTTACTTGCAATTTTCCCCACATATCACACATCCATGTAATGTTTACTTGCATTTTTCCCCACATATCACACATCCATGTAATGTTTACTTGCATTTTTCCCCATATATCACACATCCATGTAATGTTTACTTGCATTTTTCCCCACAAATCACACATCCATGTAATGTTTACTTGCATTTTTCCCCAGACATCACACATCCATGTAATGTTTACTTGCATTTCTCCCCATATATCACACATCCATGTAATGTTTACTTGTATTTTTCCCCACATATCACACATCCATGTCATGTTTACTTGCATTTTCCCCCATATATCACACATCCATGTAATGTTTACTTGCATTTCTCCCCACATATTACACATCCATGTAATGTTTACTTGCATTTCTCCCCACATATCACACATCCATGTCATGTTTACTTGCATTTCTCCCCACATATCACACATCCATGTAATGTTTACTTGCATTTC